AAGAGGTTACCCAAATTGCCAATAGGGAATAGGGACGCAGACCACTCTGGCTTCTTCCATGTTGAACAGGGACACAGGATGAGGCAATTAGAGTACCCCTTCAGGGGATAGTGGTTTTGTTTTTGCATTTTACACAGTCTTTTTCCATGCATTCCCTCTTTTTGGTTTCATAATATTATTTTGAAAAAGGTAGATTCCATTAGTCTCATTTTATAAAAGATAGGTAATAAGAGACTTGTTTAAGGTCAGGGTCAGGGATGGAGCATAGACTCAAGTACATGTCATCAGTCTTCAAGTCCAGTGTTCTTGGTTCTGTCACTCTGCTTTTCCTGCTGTTTTTTCCAGGCCTTGCCTGGTAGTGCTGCCTCTCTGCCAGGACTTCAGATTTTATAACATGACTCTCTTTTCTCTTAGTAGGTATTTGTGCAGTTCTTGGATTTTTAAATACTTGTTCTTGATACTTATGACTTAGTGGAAAGAAAAAAAATGAGAATGTTGGTAGAAATAAAAGGCATTTTTGGTAAATTTTCATGTGCTGGACATTAACATAGAAATCCTAAAGTGTGCTGAGTTTGGCAGTATATTGAACACTTCATTTTCAAGGTTCCTTGAGCTCTGGCACTGAGTGGCTTGTATTTATATGAAGGAAAACATTGCTTCAGAAGCTTTCTTACTCTGTGTGCTAGTTATTCCAATGTGTCACTTCTGTTGTAAAAAATGAAGATAGGAAAGATAATACACAAAGGAAAAGTAAGATTCTTTGTTAAGAATGTTGGGTGGACTTGGTGAAAACAGAAAACTAAATCTAAGTTAGAGGAGCATTCATAGTTTATATCTATTTATGTCAGTATTTTTAGAGGGATGAAAAGCAGTATACATTTTCTTTACTTTAAACTATGGAGACACAGTCTGTTCTCTTTTGATCTCTAAGGTCAGCCACTTAATTTCAGGTTGCAGTATCTTCCAAAAATGTTCTTAAATTTTCTTTACTTTGTTTTAGGTCATATAAAAGTGGATCTGGAGTAAATAACAGGAGAACTGAACTGTTTTTGAAAGAACATGACCACCTTCGAAAGTAAGTACTGTCTGGCTTCTTAGGTCTGTTAATTCATTTAACTTGTATGACAAATATTTAGTGACACTACTCAATAGAAACGGAATTACAGTTCTTCCAACTATAATTAGGAAAAATACTATGCTGTTATTTTACTTATTTCCCGTAGTATATTTTGTATTGCTCTGATGTATTCTTCTCTTTAGTCAATTGCTTTAATTTTTTATACTACAAGGTACTAATAAGATGAATAGAAATAATTCTGATAATTTATGTTTGAATGGTCTATTACCATTTATATATTGAAGAAACTTTGTGAAGGATAATTAGGCTATATATCAAATACAAAAAAAAAAAAAAAAAAAGCCAGGCGTGGTGGTGCATGCCTTTAATCCCGGCACTCAGGAGGCAGAGGCAAGCGGATGAGTTCAAGGCCAACCCAGTCTACATAGTGAGCTCCAGGGAGATCTTGTCTAAAAAGACCAAGGGGGGGAAAAAAAAACAAAAAAAACCTCTTCTTTTCTAGAAAATGAAGTATATATGTATTTTAAAATAAGTCACCATATTCTATTCCTCTCCAAAAAAAATTTTTTTTGTTTATATTTTGTGGAACTTAAGATTCAGAATCATTATCTCTGAACTCAGTTTATAGGCCCTTGGATCCATAATAGTTAATGTTAGGATAGGTTGATATTTGCTACTGAATGTCCTAAATGAAATGTCATGTCAGATGAGCTTAAGGTACTGTTGAATTCATTTGCCTTTAAAGATCACCACTTCAGATAGAAACTGTTGAAATCAAAACACAAAGGGTGGAGTGTGGTGGTGCAGGCCTGTAATCCCAGTTGCTTGGGAAATTGAGTCAAGATGGTTGCCTTGGACCATAGGTTCAAGACCAGCCTGGGCAACATAGTAAGACTGTGTCTTAACACATATTCACAGTATCAAAGTCTTGTGTATGATGTGGGGGATCAGTAATGCTAGGCAGCTGTTCTACTTTGAACTACCCAGTTAGCCAATTAAAATCTTTTTAGGAGACAGGATTCTTCTAGTGTTGGTTATTAGAGTTTTTTAAATTTTGTTTTTCCATTTTCACATGTATGCATGTTTGCATGTGCGTGGGCACACATTTGAGTGTTTGTGATCATGTATACATAGCATGTGGAAACCCGAGGTTGATGTCAGGAATCATCATTGATGACTCTTCCACCGTATTCATCAAGGCAGGTTCTTGCAGTCAGCCTGAGAGCTGGTCAGTAGGTTGGTCTCTGGCCAACGTGCTCTGGGGATCCTCTGTCCTCTGTCTCTTCTGACAGTGGAGTTGCAGGCATTTTATGTGGGTTCTGGGGATCTGAACACTGGTCCTCATTCTTGCATGGCACATACTTTAACCCTTGAGCCATCTCTTCAGCCCCTTAATTTTATTTTACATTTTTAAAATTTATTTTGTGCAGGGCTGACGCGATGGCTCAACAGTTAAGTGCAGTGACTGCACTTGCAGAGGACCCAGGTTCAATTCCGAGCACCCACATGGCAGCTAACAGCCATCCTTAACTCCAGTTCCAGGGGATCTGATGTCCTCTTCTGACCTCCGCAGGCAATGCAGGACAGGACACAGATCAACTTATACACATACAGGCAATAAACTCATGTACAGAAAACAAAATTAATAAATAAAACATTAAAAAGATTCCCTTAAAAAAATAATTTATTGGCCGAGTGTGGTGGCGCACGCCTTTAATCCCAGCACTCGGGAGGCAGAGGCAGGCAAATCTCTGTGAGTTCAAGGCCAGCCTGGTCTCCATGGTGAATCCAGGACAGCTGGGGCTACAGGTAGACCCTGTCTCAAAAAGACCAAAAAAAAAAAAAAAATTTATTTTGGGCCTGGGGAGATGGGCCAGCAGGTAAAAGCCATGACTGGCCTTGACGGGGACCCAGGTTCAATTCCCAACACTCACATGGTGGCTACGAACCATCCTTAACTCCAGTTCCAGGGGAATCCAAAGCCCTCTTCTGACCCCCGAGGCACGACACGGGCACACTCACATACAAGCAGGCAATATACTCATACACATAAAATAATAAATAAAATATTTAAAAACAACAAAAAAATTTTATTTGGAGCTTTGGGGGTGTATTCCACAACACACGTGTGGAAGTCAGAGGACACGTTTTGAGAATCTGTTCTCTCCTTGCACCATGTGGATGCCAGCAATTGAACTCAGGCCTTTACCGCTGAACTATCTCATGGGCCCAAGTTGTTCTTTTTAACTTCTTGAATATTTCTGGTTGGCACAGTAGGCTAGTCTCTTTTAGAGTATGTTTAGTTGCAGTCCTTTATAGCTTTCATAGTTGTTTTTATATTGGGTAAAGGCCACCATGAAAGAATTTTACATTGTTTCCAAAACTATATTAATATATTCCTGAAGTGCAGAGAGCTAAAGAGGTAATACATTCAGTTAATACAAAGTAAGGTTTAGATTGCAGTAGTGTTTCTACATTTATTGCCTCAAAAAAAATTAAAAGTTAGTAATTTAGTAGTTTACTTTTAAAAGAATGATTTGAATTGGGGAGATGGCTCAGTAGGTAAAGCGCTTGCTGCACAAACATGAGGACCTAACTCAGATTCTCCCAACGCTATATAAAACCAGGTATAATAGCCTGCACTTATAATCCCAACACCCCTATGGTGAGATGGGAGGAGGAGACAAAGACTCAGCAGAAGCTCATGGGCCAGCTAGCCTGGCTTATGTAGTGGCAAACAAGATACCCTGTTTCAAACAAGGTGGGTGGTAAGGACCAAAGCCTGAGGTTGTCCTCTGACCTCCAGTGCATACACATGCCCGCACTCACACACACACACACACACACACACACACACACACACACACACAAGATTAAAAATATTACTTGAGGCCTGACAAGATGACTCAGCTGATTAAAGTACTTGCTGCCAAGCCTAATGACCTGAGTTGAGTTCCTAGGTCCTACATGGTAGAAGGAGAGAACCAACTTCTACAAGTTGCCTCTGACTTCCATGTAAACACTATGGCATTCATGGGCCTACACACATACAAACAGGTACAGACAAAATAAGTAAATAAAATATAAAAGTTTTTAAAAATTGTTTGATGTTGAAAAGAGTATACCAAAATAATCATTCACATTAATACCCTTTATTTCATTAACTAAAAACATAGTATGCTTTTTTTTTTTTTTTTTTTTTTTTTTTTTTTTTGTCTTTTTGAGACAGGGTCTCCCTGTAGCCCCAGCTGTCCTGGAACTCACTATGTAGACCAGGTTGGCCTTGAACTCACAGAGATCCACCTGCCTCTGCCTCCTAAGTGCTGGGATTAAAGGAGTGTGCCAACACATCCAGCGTATGCATATATTTTATAAGAATTTTTCAGGAGGCTAGAAAGATGGCTCAGCAGTTAAGAGCACTGGCTATTCTTGCAAAGAACCCTGGTTTGGTTCCCAGCACCCACATGGAAGCTAACAACCATCTTTAACTCAAGTTCTGGGGATCTGACACTCTCTTCAGACCTCCATAGGCACCAGGCATATATATAGTACACATGTGTACATGTAGGCAAAACACTCATACACACAAACTAAAAATTAATAAATCTTAAAAAAGAGTTTTCATAAAAGTTTGCATTTATTTTGATTATTCAAAATGAATCTTTTAGGATTTTGATATTTTTCAGTTTACAGAAAAAAATGTGAAGCAGTTCAAGTATATACATCTTACCTAATTTGTTTAGGCTTGTGAAAAATGATGAAAAGATAGAAATTAGAAGGTATCTTTCCATTTTTATTCAAAATACTTTGTGTTATATACATTTCTTTCTACATTCTTTAGAAAAAGAGAGACTGAGGCAAGATGAAGCTGAATGGAACAGGATCTTGTAATAAGTTAGAAGAATTGTTGACCTAAAAACAAGTGCTCAGTCATCATTCTCAATATTAGAACACAGAATCCAACTATTTCTTTTATTTATTTTATTTTATTTTATTTTTTGTCTTTTTGAAGCAGGGTCTCCCTGTAGTCCCAGCTATCCTGGAACTCACTATGTAGACCAGGCTGGCCTTGAACTCACAGAGATTCGCCTGCCTCTGCTTCCTAAGTGCTGGGACTACAGGCGTGCACCACCACGCCCAACTCCCAAATATTTCTTTTAAAAGTCAGATTTTTAATCAATATAATGAAATAAATATTTGCTAGCTAATAAGATATAAAATTATGAGCTAATATTGTTTACAAAATAATATGAAAAGTGTTCTGTGGTTTTCAGTGTAGTGTTTCATTTACTTAGGTGTTCTTTAGGAAAAATTGATAAAAAAAATTTTTTTTAGACAGGCCATATAGCCCAGGCTGGCCTCATAGTCACTTTGTACAGCCAAAGATGACTTTGAACTTCTGATCCTCCTGCCTCCACCTTCTGAGTTTTGAGATAACAAGTATGCACCACCATGCCCAGTTTAAGGGTGCTGGGATCAAACCCAGGGCTTCATTCATAATAGGCAAACACTTACCAGCTGAACTGCATCCCTGGCTCTATGATACTCATTTTTAAAAGCATGAAGCACAATTTTAAAATCGTGGGCATGCTAGCACACACCTGTAATTCTTGCACTTTGAGTACTGAGGGAGGAGGATCTCAAATTCAAAATCAACCTGGCTCTATACAAGGTTCTGTCTCAAAACTCAAGAATGAAGGTGTGGTGGCGCACGCCTTTAATCCCAGCACTCAGGAGGCAGAGGCAGGTGGATCTCTGTGAGTTCAAGGCCAGCCTGGCCTACATAGTTCCAGGCCAATTGTGGCTACAGGGAGACTCTGTCTCAAAAAGACAAAACCTCAAGAATGAATGAATGACAAGATGCTGTCTCAAAACCCCAAGAATAAATAAATAGCATGTCTAGTTCAAAATGTGAAAAGAAAATTGTATCTCTAGTACAGATTCTGTAACTCTTTTTAGCTTATCAGTAGATTATGGGCCTTTTTCATGTTATTTGA